CGTTGGATGACAATTGGCTCCGGCACTGGAACAAGTCTGTATCAGATGACTCACGCCCTTTTGCTCTCTGAGTTGTCTGTCTTTGTCGCTTTCTATTCCGCTCTCTTGTTGTTCCCACCGCCCAATATGACCCTTACGGTTGGGTCGGGTTCAAAATGTCGCGCACAAAGTTACTGTGTTCGAGGCGCGCGATGGGAGGGGATACCATGCTTGAGTGGACTATATCGGTTCCCGCAAAAACGGGACAGGAGGGGCAAACGATCATGACCGAGACGAACGGCAAGCGCGTGCGTTTTTTTCTCCGTAGTCGCCGTCTCCAGTGTAAGTCGGAGGAGGAGGAGGAGGAGGAGGCGCGGGCGAGCGAACAAAAAAAGATGGGGGTCCACGGCACGCCGTACACGCCGTGCACACACGGGAAACAGAGCTGAGCGACGGAGTAGGGGTGATGCTTGTTCGGGGCCGCAACTGACACCACGCAAACCACGCAGCGCTCCATTTTCATCTCAAAGTCTCAACGTCTAGTAGTCAACCACAGCGTGGAGCTGCTGCGAGGAGAAAAGCTCTGCTCATCCCCCCTCGTTGGTGCCTCTCCCCTCTGTGCCTCTCTCCTCTGAGCCCTTTATTCCCTCTGTGCCCTCTCTCTCCAGCCTATCGCCTGTCGTCATTGCCCACCAAACCCCCTTGCGGATACTACCTTGAATGTATTTTTTGCCACGCTAGAGCCCCAGGACACACTTCTGGGGTTCTAAATGTGGCCTTGTGATTCGTTCTTTGGGATTATTTGCCTCCCCTTGAGCAAGGGAGACATGCTGAGAAAGAGGTGAGCGCAGCCGTTGAAACCGTGAATGGCTGGCTGAACCTGCTCTGGACCGCTTCCTCGACTTCACGGGCTGAACTCTGGGCTTCAAGGGCCCGGTACTGGAGACTTCGGACGGTATACGTGGGCACCAGGTGGGCTTGAGGGGCGGTTTAGGTAGCTGCGATGCCGTTGCCCAGCACTTCCATTCCTGTGGCTCTGGTTGGAGGAGCACAATGGGGGGAAGGGGAGAGACGCAGGTTTGACACGTTGGCAGGTCCTGTAGAGATGGAGTCATGGGCAAGGAGTAGGTCAGTAACGAGAGGAGCATGATGGGGATGAAGGGGGCGAGAGATGTCGTGCAGTTTACGGATATTTGGGTAGTCGACGGTCGAAGTCCTATCTGCACTTTCTCCATTTCTTCAGAATCATCATCATCATGACCGTAGTCATCAATCATTGTAATCTTGTTCTTGTTTCTCACCCCCCACCTCTTCCTCGCGGTGTCATATATCGTCCTGCTTGAAAGCTCCAGCCCAGCCCACACGACCTCGCGGAGCGCGGGACTTCGGATCCGCGGCCGTTGGGATAACCCCAAAAACCCAACGTGCGGGTTTTTCTGGTGTGTCCTTTTGTGACCTGTAACAACGGTGCCACTCTGATTCAGATAGAGAGTGAGTGAGGCCTGTCTCTTGGGATGTATCACTCAGTTGTAGTGTGTGTCCGTGTGTGGGCTGCGTTCCGTTCACCCTGGTTTCTTCTTCTTTGGTGAGTATTCTTATGTCTTGAAGAAGAGGCGGTGGAACAGCGTGAGGGAGTTGTAAGACCGTAAAAGTCAGGTAGGTAGGCTGCGAGCGAGACAAGATTACCTGGGTACGCTACGTAGCTAGGGGTGTGTGTGGAAGTGGCAAGTGAGAAAAGGCTGTGAGACGTAAGAAAAAAGAGACACGATTCCAGAGACATGGTGGTCGGAGGAAGGCGGGGAGAGGAGAGATTGTGTGGGCAAAGGGGGCACAGTTGAGTGTGAACCGCAGTGGCATGAGAAACCGAGATGTGGCCTGTGGCCTGTTTCTTCCCTATGTCTGGGATCGGGGATGGGAGGGACGGCACGGAGGAAGAATGATGGCTAAGTCGCAGATTCGGGACTGTCCGATAGGTACAATCGTGATTACTCTATTCACAAGAGAAAAGCCATTTAGGCATCTGGGGGATGAGGCCCTGAGCCTGAATGTGTTTTGGGAGGCTCTGAGTGGATAATCTGTGGTGGATGGGTAGGTTGATGGCTGCTTCTTTGTGTAACCGTTACGTTGTCTACCCGCCTCTTAAGAGGGGAGTTCCGCGCTTAAGGTTGAGATATATCCCAGATAAGGTATTTCCCTAGTTGACGATGCAGTGAAGAGCATTGGCTATCTGGTCTCCATGGCGGGAGATGGGAGAACGTGCCGGCACCTCTCCTTTCTGTCCACGCTGCTCCCGTCTCCCTAGCCCCTCCATTTCCTTCGAGACTTGTTCCTGGAAAAAGGAGCGGTAGTACATCACATGTGTGAGAGTGTGTGAATGTGGATGCAGGCGTCGGTATTCACAAGTGCGTGTGTGTATGTGCGCGTGCGAGTGAGATTGACAGTTGTTCACCATGAGATCCTGCACTTTGGACCCTTTTCCCGTCCCGACTACAGTTCTATTTCCCTTTTTTTTCTCCTCTTTTTCAGAGTTTCTTGTGTTCTCGTGTTCTTGTCGTACCACGATGCCGCGGGTGCTATTCTGATAGGAGGGGATAGAGGAAATGTGGGAAAAGACCACGCAGAGATGTACGTGTAACGTTGGGCTAAAGCCGGCAAGAACTTCATAAAGGGGTCCATCTTGTCCCCTCTCCACAGTTCCCGCTCTACAAGAAGAGAGCCCTGCAGGAGAGAAGCCTCAGGGGGCGAGGAGTGAAGGACCTCCTCCCCTCGCCGACGATTGGACATCCGTATCGCCTCCCCTCTACTCCCCATCTCACCACTTGTGGGATCAGGTACTTTTTTGGCGATCGAGGCGCGCGTCAGTGAGGTGATTTACTGGAAGTGGTGTGCTGGCTGGACCATCGCTGGCTGGCTGGGCGGGATGGATGGATGGATGACCTGTGTGGGATCTGCCGGCTTCCCTTTCCGCTGGGATCCGGACGTGACATGTCAAAAAGTCTCACGGCTCTTCTCGTCCGCTCATCTACGCTCCTGCCTTTCTTTGCTTCTTCTCTTTCTTTACGTACCCGTACCTACATCTGAGAACTGAGAAACGTCCCCTCGTGACTTCTGGGTGGCTTGAGGGGGTAACGGGGGGCCGGGAGGATAGACGGAACATTCCATATCAGGGTGAGATGGTGGTGGTGGTGTGTTCGGTCTTTGTTCATCAGGACCTACATGCTACGCGGTAAAAGTAGCAAAAACAGAGCTGGAACACTGCTACGAGTGTCTCGTAAAGAAAGGGGCGCTGATTCCGAGGCAAGGAGGTACTTGAGTAGGGGGGGTAGAGCAAGCCTTGTGTTGTCTTAGTGAGTTGTCTGTCTCGGACGTCGAATGCCGCGCCCGCTGAGAGGCGTGGGATGTGTGATTTTACTGTTTTGTGTGCCGAGCCTTGAGAGACAAATGGGATAGGAGGCGTAGGTTTCGGTTCGAAGAGAAGGCTGGGCAGTGATGGCTTCTGTGATCTGGTATTCTGGATTACGACATGATCAGATCGGACAAGTGTCATTCTCAAGGAAAGATTCGCCATGTTCTGTATGCTTGTGCCCGTGGTCTTATTGCTTTGGGGGAGATCAGACAGGCTGTCCTGGTGTCGAAACCCCTCACCGGCCTTCTGCACATTCGAAAAGCACAACATTCTGTCACACAGAGCGATAGCAGCGGCGTATGGAAAGCCACGTGTGAGACTTTGAATCGTGGATCGGTGTCTTCTTGTTGGCAGTGGCTTAGTGTTCTTCAACGTTGCTCGTTGAACCAGCCTCGAAGCGATGGCACATTCCTCTAGGCTTGTTCATTCAGCGAGGCTTTGGTTCTGGCATGCAAGAACACTCAGACAGAGCCTTGAGCTTGATCTTGAGCTTATGCTTGGAAGCCTTTGAACATAGACTACTCATAAAGTGGATCACTCATGGAGTAGGGAGGTCGATGACCGTCTTGCAGCCCCTATTCCAGTGACTTCGGTCCACGTTTCAACTTTGATATTCCATCAGCATTCACCATTGACAAATCAGTTGTGCTGACTTCTTGACTTAAGCGTGACTTTCTTCTGGTTCTAATGATGTGTCAAAGAACATGTAGCTACAGTGATTTAAGATCATCGCAAATTTAGCCATCTGTTGAGCCGTCTTGCATAGGTGATATAAGTGCGGCTGGTGTGATGAGTATCAAGCAAACCAGAATAACGTAGTGCATCTAAGCACAAGATTGAGACCTGTGAGAGCAGAACGTACGCCTGTTGTTTCGTCTATATCCTCTTGTCTTCATTACTTGAGTTATTTGATGGTACAGCGCTGTTTGACGATTCAATGGAGCAGGAGCGGTCGAATACCAAGAGATATGACGGATGAGATTTAATGAAACGAAACGGAACGTGAAACGAAGATGCAACAGAATTTGACTGGCTATTAAGCATTTGAGGCACCACTGACGGTAAGGAGTGATAAAGAGCAATCCAGGTCTGCGCAAAGGGTTTCACTCTTCTTGCGACTTACATGCTCAGTTGATTCACAATCGTGGCCTAGTTTAGAAAGCAGACGTAGAAAAATGCAAATCCCCAGAGTTGAGCAGTCAGGTAACGTCAACGGAACGAAGCTTGCTCGAGTGTGCTGCATAAGCCAGAGCACCTTATACACACTCTTAGGGAAGCAAGTCTGGGGCTATCCTGACATGTCAGTTGACCTCAGCGTTTCTTATTGCCGCTGGCAACGAAATAGCCTCCGTACTTACAAGTATGGGCGAATGTGGGATGAATTAGCAAACTTGAGGACACAGGCGTTGGCCACGTCTAAGGCTGCGAGAGACACAGAAGCTGCCGTTTCATGATCATCTTTCCTATTTTGTAGACTCTAAAACTATGCAGACCAGATGGCATCCCTGACATTGCACGCACGATCTTAGCCTTGGCCATCGAATCTTCACTCTCGTCAATAGCAACATATTCGTTCTGGAATGGTATGTATTATTCCGACACTATCATTACAAGCCTACTCCGCCCATTGTGGTAAGTAGTATTTGACGTTCTCGTACACAAGGAAAGTGACCCATGTAGCCGGCATCACCCTCACAACTCCCGGCATAAGGCCTCTGTAGAAACCCCTGACGCCTTCTTCCTGCCAAATCCTCTTCACAACACCCCGGATACCCCGTCCGAACCTCTCATCGGCGTCGTAGTTCTGTAGTCGACTCCGGAGTACCTGGTAGGGATACGTCACAGCCCCAGCGACTAGCTTCGAGACACTCGAGATGACCACCGTCGCCTCGTTGCTCACCCGCCCTCCATTGTCGCCCTTCCGCTGCCTTCCGGCGAAATACATCTTTTTGGCGGGCTCATACACGGCAAACTGTACTGCGCCGTGCGAAACCCCGATCAGACTGACGCCGAGGCCACGATAGAAGCCCCGCAGGCCCTCGGAGCGATACAACAGCCGCGCGCCGGTCCACATGTTGGCGTAGGCGCCCGCAGCGGTGCGGTCGGACGAGAGCATGCGCGTCTTGAGAACCCAGACCGGGTTCGTCAGGACCTGTGTCAGCGCTCCGGCGAGCGCGGACGACACGAAGAAGTCCTGGGTGGTGAGGTACTCCTTGGTCAGGTTGCGGGCGTTGGCACCGGAGCCGCTCGTCAGCGGCATGTAGCCGGCTCTCCAGAGCGCAATGGCCCGCTCGACGCGCGACTTGAAGAAGAAGAAGGCGGACCAGCTTGAGGCGTTGCCGATGAGGTTCGGCGTCAAGCCGCGGTAGAGGGAGGCGATGGGATGCGGGTTCTGTGTGAGCGTGCGGATGAGAGACATGGTTGTCAGCGACACTGACGGATTGGCCGCGCTCCGGTGAACTAAGCTTCCTTGTCAGCGACTGCTTCTGGGTGATTTTCAGATATAGACAATGCACTTCACTCACTTTGCATCCGCGTCTTCACGATATCAAGCGGGTGAACTACCAAAGTCGCAACCGAGCCGGCCGAGAGACCGGCAACGGACTCGACCAGAGCGGGTGAGATGCCCGCATTTTTGCTTTCTGACATAGAAGTAAGAGGGGCCTCTGTCACATTGCTCTATGTAGAAAACGTGACTGCGATCTCACGCATCCGGTTGCAGAGACCTCGGCCAAGCTCAAATGTCGGAAGCTGTGTAAAAGGAGCTTGGTGAATTGTTGGTGTGGCTTGACTGTAGCTTACCATGAAAAATGCGCCTGAATGATTATTCATACGTCATGTTAGCTCATTAAATTGCGGCTCCGCTGCCACTTTTTCAGAGCTTCAGCCACACTTAACCTCCTTTCGCAGGCTGTGACCAGACGTAAGGTAGGCAGGATATCGACAGCTCCCAATGCCCATGAACGAAATTGTTTTAATGTGTTCATTCTATTAGTCTTCAAGATCATGGAAAGACCGCAACAGTTCTGAAGCGCAGTTGCAAAGCTCGTCGACGTCCGCCTGAGCCCTCAACTACGTATTCTGTCTCCTCTACTCACAGGCACTAGCAATTTGCATCAGGGGAATGTTTTCTTGGTTTACTAGAAGCTGCATTAAAGGCGATGCGTATGATTAAGCAAAAATGCGCCAGTTACCCGAATGTTCATTGACAGCCCGCTGACTGCACCTCATTCCCCCCCAACATTGTTGTCCGCGCTGCCAGACCATTCGCAGTGGCGTACAACAAAGAAGAGTATATCGTTAGAGAGGTTTCATTTGATTACATATGTAGTTGTACAATGCGCCGGAGCCGCGGCCTGCATTTCCTCATCACCATTGTCAGTGATCCGGTGTGTCATCCCCCAAATCTTGGCTAGCATCCAAATTTCGCAAGCCTAATATTGTACAAAAAGTCGATGTTGAGACACGCGTCGTCTAAGAGAGGGGAGAAATAAGGCTGGGGGAGGATTAGTTACGATGTTCCATGATATTCGCGCGTCTTGGAGTATTGCCTACCGGATGAAAGCGGGACGGGGCTCGCTGCGGGTGTAGCCTGCAAAGAATAGTCAGTTTCGCTGTTGGAGGCGTAGTTCGAATCGAAGCATCAATCATTCGTACCGAGGTAGAGAACGAGAGGGAGGTATCCGCTGCGAATAGGTCAGTAACTGGGTTCGTTTCTCGTCAAATACAGGAGACTACATACTAGTGGATGGCAATACGGGAGATCTCAATGATCTTGCCAATGCGCTCCTGTAGTATGCAATGATTAGATCCAACTCCATGCGACGTGATCTAGCTATCGTTGCGTTGTCGCACCTTGGACTCTTCGGAGAGGGCGAACATCTTGACGGATGGAATGTGACGTTGACGGTATTTGATAAGTTGAATCAATGAGGTTTCGCGTGATGGCGGTCTTCGTCGTCGCTGGGTGTTCGTGGATGTATCGTCGTCGCTGCGTCAGGGAGCTGGTGGTGGATGCGCTGGAAGCTGTTCCTGAACTTTTCTTCGTCTGCCGGAAAAACGCATCGAGTGGAGCCGCCGGAACAACCGCGCTGGGAGGCTTATCGACCTTTGCGCTGCACGATAAGGTACGTACCGACATAGCTCAACCGCGACTGAACCTCGAGGCCAAAATTTCCAGGTCTTTATGGTACAAGGTGACCAACGACTTTTCGCCTCACGTATTCTGACGATCCAATCTATCTTACGAGTATCGTCTATAGATCGTGAAGAGGGCACTGAGAGTGCTAGAAATTCAAAATGGCACAAAACAGGCATTGGTAAGCTTCAAACTGGCCCCAAGTAAGCATTCAAGGACATTGCAACTAACCTACGACGCGCGATACAGGGAACAAGACAAAGATGCGACCATCTACATCGGAAACATTGACGAGCGCGCGACCCCGGCGATGGTGTACGAAGTCATGCTCCAGATGGGCCCCATCCACAACATCCACATGCCCCGCGACCGCGTCACCCAGAACCACCAGGGCTTCGGCTTCGTCGAGTTTAGGACGCCGGGCGACGCAGAGTACGCCGCCAACGTCATGAACGGCATCAAGCTCTACGGCAAGTCCCTGCGCGTCAACAAGGCCAGCGCGGACAAGCAGAAGCAGGCAGAGGTCGGCGCGGAGCTCTTCGTGGGCAACCTGGACAGCATGGTGGACGAGAAGATCCTCTACGACACCTTTTCGCGTTTCGGCCCGCTCGTCAACTTGCCCAAGGTCGCGCGAGAGGACAGCGGCAACTCAAAGGGCTTCGGATTCATCTCCTACGCCGACTTTGAGAGCGCTGACGCGGCGATTGCCAACTTGCACATGCAGTACATCCTCAGCAAGGAGGTCTCGGTCCAGTATGCGTTCAAGAAGGACGGCAAGGGCGAGCGCCACGGTGACGCTGCGGAGCGTGAGCTCGCCGCGCAGGCCAAGAAGAGGAACATCGTCCCAGAGATCCAGGCCGTACCACCCGCTTTCCTCAACGGCCCGCCTCCGGCCGCTGCGCCGACTGCCCCTGCCGGATTCGACCCCTCAAACGGCCTGCCGGTCCAGGTCCCAAATCCAGGAGCACCAGCCGGATTCGCGCCTCCGCCGCGGGGACCAGCGCAATACAATGCCGTACCACCACCGCAAGGTATGGGCGGGCCGGGCATGGGCCGTGGCGCCGTACTCCCTCCCGCGCCGTCTGGTCTGCCGGCGCGGCCGCCACAGTCGCAAGGCGGCTACACGAACCCGGCCGACTTCCACCCGGGTGCCCCGGGTTTCCGCCCGCCAAGCGGACCTCCCGCACCGCAAGGCTTCGCTGCGCCCCCTCCCAACTTCCCCATGCCTCCTCCGGGAGCTTCTGGGACACCGCCCGCGCCACCGGGCTTCATGCCTCCTCCGGGCTTCAACCCCCCTGGATTCCCCCGCCGATGAAGAGACATGAATTTAAAAAGGAGATCGCCCTTCGTTGGCGGTATTGTAAGACTACAAAAAAGTAAAAAAAGCGCTGCTTTGGTGCCGCTGATTTCCGAGGCTTCATCGGTTTCGGAATAATAGCCGGGCGTTTAGGATAGGGGCTAGCGAGAAGCTCGTCCAGCACAGGTTGAATCGGATTGCAATGGTCTGTCTTCACTTTGATCAGACGGGGAGTAGCCATTGCTAACATTATCCAGATCGTCACTTTAGTGGTATGGCAGCTGCTTTAGACCCAGGCAGGATCGCAGGCAGATGCCTCACAGACATCATGACCCGAGAACCGGCGGCCACGGTGAAGATTATGATGATCGTTACTCGTAGCTTAATGAAGAAATGACGTTTACAATATTCTCAACTTTGACTGGAGCTCCGTGGACTCTAGAGGACGCATAGACGAACCCTCTGTGTGCCTTGTAATGACTCGTCCATGTCAATATTGACGGGCTTCTTTGATGCGTCGCAACCCAAGCTAATACGCCCGCACATCCAAGGCAAAACATGTAGCACTGTATCGGCAGCCAGACATACGAAAATGTAGACGTTCCACTTTTCTTTTTGGAAAATGCTGAGAAGAATGGCTATATCATCCCAGATCCGCTCTCGCCCTTTTCGTACATAAATTACAAATGGTAGGTACACAGTTATCATACATCTCCTAGTCCACGATATCCCCTTTTATGAGTCTCGCGGCTTGTCCTCTTGCAGCTCTTCCTTTTTTGGCTCGCTCTCTTGCGGCTCATTTTTCTTCGGTTCGTCCTCCTTCGGCTGGCTCTCCTTCAGCTCGGCTTCATTCAACTTGCTCTCCTGGAAGATATCTTCCTTCAAGGTCTCCTCATCCAAATCGTCCTCTCGCAGCTCGTCTGTCGTTTCATCCCAAGATACCGTCTTCCACTGTGCCCTGTGCCCGAAAGCCTCATCATAAGTAACGGGATCATCCATGCCGAAAACATGGACGGGGTTCTCCTTGGCCGTCTCTTCCATTTTCGCACGGAATTTCCTGCCCCTCTTGCTCATCTGCTCCAGCTTGCCAGAAAACATCTGGTACCACGGGTCAGGCCCTTTCGCATCCTTGTCGTTTGAGAGCGCCTTCTTGCGTCGCACCTGAAGTGCTTTATACAGATGCTCGGCACGACCCGCAGGAAGTTCTTCAATGGAATACTCCACGGTCCACCCCGAAACGCCAGCCTTGGGATCGGGCCGCGGGGCGTATTCTCCATTTACCCTGTTCCGCACAGTCAAGACCATTCCAAGAAGCTCGTTATCAACGATATCAAGCTCAGGGGTCTCGTCTACTTGGGCTTCTTTGCCCTCAGAATCCTTGGGAGACTCGGTTGAGGCTGCCGTCTGGCTGATACTGGGGTTAGGATCCTCAAACATTTCAGTCGTTGCTTCCTCCATGTCTGAAGCCTGAGGGTTCGTCTTGATTTCCGACTGCTTCGACTCGGCAACCAGCTTGGAGAGAATACGCTCGAACGTTCGGAGTTTGGAGACGTCGGAAGTAGCGTCGTCTTCGGGAATGTCGGTGGTTTCCTCTACGTCGAGATTCTCGTCGACATTTGAAGCAACGCGGAGAATCAACTCCTTCAGACCGAGATTTCGAGAGCTGCGCTGTAGTGATGACCCTTTGTCTGTCTCTTGAACCGACTCAGTTCCCTCGCTAGCGGCTGGCACAGCTTCTTGCGCTGTGCTCGATTCAAAAGCCTGAGCAACATCGGCCGATGGGGTGTCAATGTCGCTCGCAGACATCGCATCTGTCTGGTCATCCTTTCCATCAATATCCTGTGCCTCGCTGGCTTGGTTACGCGTAAGGGCCTCCAAAAGGCCGTCGACATACCAGCGAGCTTCTTCAGGTGTTCTCGCCTTCAGCAATGCACTTTGTTCCAGTGCGTCGTGGATTGCCTCCCGTACATGGCCAATGCCGAGGGCATCGTCTTCCACTGCCTCATTGACCTTCTCCTGCATTTCTTCCCAGAATGCTTGCGTCTGCCATACTTGGCTACTAGACTCTGGACTGGACACATCGACGCTAACAGCTTCCTCGTCTTCTTCTTGGCCAACTGATCGCTCGACTTCCGAGTCTTGCATCTCGGGTTCCGATGACTCCTCTGAGGCCATGCCAAGGATCTGCTCCTCGAACTCTCTGACAGCAGCTTGGTTGCGCGTTTGGACCTTGTCGATATCTTCCTTTGTAACAGGCTTTGCGAAAACGTACATAAAAGGAGGGTCAGTAGGTCGCGTTTCCACATGAAGTCGGATGGATCGGCCAGGGAATCGTTCTGTCGCGCGATCGAGGACCTTATTCAGAAGGTGAAGGCTGAGCTTGAATTCTTGGTCGCCGAGATTTCGGTAAAAGGTTCCGTGAATGGCTTGGTCCATCTCGTTGATGGGAATGTACTGGAAACCGAAGATGCGTTGTGTGTTATGGAAGGCAACGAAGATTCCATCCATACGGCCCATTCGCACTTGCAAGGAATACTTGAGGAATGCAGATCTGATCATGTCGAAGTATTCGCGCTCGAAAGACTCCCACTGGCCATAACGGCGGCGGATCTCATAGCCAAGTCCTTTGTGGAATTGCTGAGCGTCCATGCGGATTGAGACTACAGCTCTCGTCTTCAGATCAAACATTCCAGATCCTGGTAACCTTGGATCATACGCATCCAGTTGAGAACGCATAAGGAAATCGCCCATGGTGGTGTAATGGAAGGCTTCTGCAGCATTACGCTCCTCCTCGGTGATCTGATCGGAATTGGCACGGCGATACTTTTCGAACTCTTCTCGCGGCAGCGTCAACTGCTTCTCCATTGACTTTCCGAGCATACTCAGAATACTGGCAGAGTCGTACTCCTTGTCTGCATCTATTGCGTACACACCTTCATTGAAATGGAGGAAGGAGGCAGCTGGCGCACGAGAGATGGCAGTGAAACTCGAATACTCGGGCGTGAACTGGCGACTCATGTTGTCAGGGTTGATAGGCCGCCACGCAGAAAGCAAGAAGTGGAAATGGGACAGCGTTTGAGTCATGCTTGATGTTGAGCCGGTGTACTTCCTACCCAGCTTGGCCGCAAGCGAGATCAAGGTGTTATCCTTTGAAGAGGTGACATATTTCTGGAGCGCATTGAAGTCAAACTCGCTGATCGGCATAATATCGCCGAGGTAAGGATCAAAGTTGAAGACTCGCGAGCGGGGATCCTGCATATGGTATACTCCAGGGTTGAACAAGACTCTATCCAGGCCGTAAGCGAGTTTTGGCACCTCGGGAGTGTCTGGTATTTCGACGGGCACTAAGCGAAGACTCTCCGCGTGCACTCTCTTCACATTGACAAGAGGCTTTTCGGATTTCTTGGTCCTCTTGGGCTTGGTTGGGGGCGCTTCGCTGTCGTTCTT